TCTGGCTTTGTGGCAAGCACCCTCACCCACCCAGCCACCTCAATGGCCCATCTCTTAATTTTTTCAGAACACTTCAATTTACAGAAGACAGACTGTTACAAATTCCGACCCAGGTGACTTGTGCCTCTTCTCAGGGCCACCTGATAAGATCCCTAAGCAATGCTTTCCTATCTTCAGGTTGAATGGGTATTGCAAGAGGGGTGTGTTATTATTAGAGCCCACTCCAGGACTTCTGGTTCTGTGGGCTGGGCCTGGGGCCAGGCATTTTCATTTTCATCAAGGTCCCTAGGTAGTCAATGCAATCAGTCCGAAGACCACAGTTTGAGAATAACGGCCTTAAAGGATCCTAGGCGTTGTCCTTTTGCTTTTATTGTATTCGAGTTCTCAAGTTACTTGTGACGCACATCTGAGATGGCTCTGACACCTCTTCTGGGTTCTGCAGGCCCCGACAGGCACATGATGCACAGACATATACACAGGCAAGTCCCTCACATGCGTACTAAGTCTTTAAAAAAGGAAAAAGCTACATGAGACCAGCAGTCACCTCTCTCTTCCTGACCGCAGAGGCAGTGTGTTGGGAGCTCCCCCTTGGGTGCCTGCGGGGCACACCCTTGCTCACAGGGCTTGCTGGTATGTTGCCGGTCACACCGTCTCCATTTCCCTCCCTGACCCATCTGGAGTTTGTGTGTCCTCATCTACTCTTTCAGGAGGCAGTAGATTAGCATGGGAAAGCTAAGCATGATGGGACTTAGTTCGAGAGTTGTCCCTTGAACTAGCTGTGAGTCAGGAGGATGAGGTGTGGGACGTATACATACATCCGAACCAGACTCTCAACTCTTGCTAACACTTAGACTATTATCTGACAGCTCCAGACCTCCACTGTCCAGTTACAAAATGGAGGCAGAGAGGACCTGTGCCGCAGGTAGGGTTGCTGAAACTGAAAATGCAACACATGAAAGGCACTGATGAAGGACCCGACACCTTTCCTGCGAGAATCCTGTTGTTTGCTTTCTTTTCCCCACCATAGTAAAATGGAACTAAGTTCTTGCTGAGATCGTAGTTTCTTTAAAGGTCAAATGAAATAATCCTTCAAGGGTACTCTGTATGAGCATTTACTTATCTTGGGGGTTCCTATTAAAGCCCCTAAGAACCCACAACTAACCAAATTTGAACTGTCCCTTGGTCACACCGAGTTGCTATTTCTCCTTAGAAGAGCTCATGTGTGGACTGTCATCAGTGCTTAAAGTTCATATCCATCAGCTCGGAGTTACCAAGGAGGGACTCACAGACTACATACTTGAAGAACTTCTAAGGCAGGAAAGATATAGACCATTTTTGTACAGAGATGTGATTGTGCAAGATACCATGAAGCTGGGCCCATGGCTCTTACGGGAAATACCAGTTTGGCAACACCAGATGTACAGCGGCAAAGATCCACTAATGGGCACGAAGCCATTATGCTTCTCTGGGCACCAGCCAGGACATTTTACTTTGCTGATTAGAAAAGCACTTACTCTGTGACATTTATTAGGCTTTAGTTAAATGGCTTTTCCCCCCTCAACGGAGAATAAAATTCATTAGGGTTTGAGGGAGAAAAATGTTTTATAAAATTTGTTCCTTTTGCTTCTGTGTGTCTTGCCCAGATTCCATAATTTAAGAGTCCCTGTCTAGGGATGAATTTGCATCACCTGATAGAAGAAGGAACCCTTGAAGGCATTTCCTGAGACTTCCACGGCAGGCAGATGAGAAGCAATCTGTAGGGTGGTTACCGGAGCCTGAAAAGAATGGCAAAACCCAAACCCACCCTTTGCTTAAGAAGTTGCTCAGCTACATCTCATCAAGCATGGTGGGAGAGAAGTGCACTGGAACAACCGTTTACATCACAAGCACACTCGGGAAAGCAGAATCAGAATACACTATAGGAAGATGGAGGTTTTAGCTGTGTATTTTGTATTTACACCAATTCTGATAGGTATAAATAGCAATCATTTCAGCCCTCTATGTCTCCTAGACGACAGTCGAACCTGGAGCTTGGATTCTAACCCTGGCCTGCCTTCCTGGTTATGACCTTGGGTAAGCTGACTCAACATTCTGCCCCTTTTCTCTCATTTTGAAAGTAGAAAAAAAATAATGTATCGGTGTCAGAGGGTTTTGAAGCAATTGAGTTGTCCCATGAAAATAATCAACATTTCTGACACCTAGACTGCTTCTAATTCATTTCTGCCCATGATTGAAATCATCTAAAAGGCTTGATTTGAGACAGCTGTCATAGCTTCCATCAGCTGCCCCGAGTGAGGCAGTTCATTGCTGTAGGAACTTCTTCCTAGAGAGGATTTGCTGAGTCTCTTCCCGGCCACCTTGACCTCCACAGCTTCCTGGGAGGCCGCTTCACAGAATGCCAGAGACAGACGTACCTGCATCTGGGGGATGAGGAGGTGCAGGATGGAGAGACCGTACTGGTAAACCACGAACTCCCAGGCAGAAAGGTGCATGACTTGCACAGTTACCGGCTGTCCCTGCATCGTCCGAGTCTTCTGCAAAGCGTTTTTTGGGTCTGCAGAAATCAAGACAAATCAGTGATAATTTCACTGATTTTTTATGGTAATGATATATTAACAATAACATGACAGTTCATCTTAGGAAAATATTTATCTCCATCCATCCATCCATTCATCCATCCATCCATCCATCCATCCATCCTCCAGTGAAGCCTATACTGCAGGCTTCCCTGGTCCTCTACATGGAAAAATGAGCCCAATCAAAGGGACAGAGGACTTAGAAGGAGCCACAGAAAAGATGACAGTATTTCCTTGGCAGTAGATCTGAAGTTGTTTGGATCATTAGGTGTGCTACACTCAGAATACTGTCTGGCATACAGCAAGCACTCAGTACATGTTAGATGTATCCAGATTTTTACTTATCTATCAAATTGTCTCTAATGGGCCTTTAGATAATTACCCTAAATGGGTTTTTATCTAAATGGGACTTTAGACACTTCCATTGTCTGATTCTTAAGAGGACAATGAAAAATGGCTTGGACAGCAATATATAATGAGAATAAAAGTAGCAACCAGGAGACCTGTGTCCTGGTGGTGTCCAGGGTGTGTAAGACCTTTGGACAGTTACATACTTCTTTGAATGTTGTTTTTCTTATTTATATTAAAAAATGAGTAATAGAATTGGAGTTAGGTTTCCGGGGGAGGGGGCAGCAAACAAGACAGTACACATAAGAATGCACTTACAATGGTTGGAGAGGGTAGTCCTTGAATGAGGGTCCATATCTCTGCTCGTATTTCTCATCAGTTCTCGTGAAAGGAATTAATCAGGTTGAACAACCCCCAGAATCAGTAAACTGTTTTTTTGGCAGTGCTCAGGTAGTATATAATTTAGGCTTTGCCAGCCAGGAGCCACAATTGGAGTTCAAAGTATTTTACTATCCTCACGCCAGGAGACAGAGCTTGCTCTCCTACAAGCCTATCCTGGCTTTCCTGATGCACATCAGTCTGCCTCCCCAGGCACTCACTAGAGCACATCTCTTTTGGCACTGCCTCATGGTGCTGGATGGTTTTTGTAGGAAGCAGGGTGAGCGTAAGACTCTGGGGGAAGGCTCCTTGGATTTCAGCTGAACCACCCATTAGCAACTGGATCTTTGATTTCCTATTTATACAAGGAAGTTTCCTTCCCTATAAAGTGAGTACTAATACCTACCTTTCTAGATTGTTGTAAATGAGTTACTATATGTTTAGGATAGGACATGACATTGTAAAAGGCCCCATATTGGCAGAGTAATCTGGGTGCTCTTTTTATGGGGCAAAATATTCTTTCTGTTGGTTTCTCTGTATCCCTGTATCTCACATTTCCTGCAAACTCCCTTTTAACATGTGGATGAAATACCAAGATTTAGATTCAGCACTTGATCGGAAGGTAGAATACCTTTAGGAATTGTCTTCTAAGGATTGACTAAGTTATAGTTCAATGATACTTTGATTCTTGCCTGATATGCCTTATATGGAAAAATCCCTTGGGGGCCTTAGTATGGGGCAGAGGAAGGAGGAAAGGATGTCTGGTAAGACAGGATCCAGGATTCCTTGGGTTCTCAGGTTTGGAAGGTACATCATCATTTACCATGAGTGCACTATAGTAATTTTTCAATAGAAAAGAGGTTACCTTGTCTGTGATGTATTTGTCTTTGTAGTTCAGCTATTCCCCTGGGGTCTGAGGACCAGGTATCTATTTTCTTCATGATGGAGAATAATGGTGCGGTCCAGATGTTGTCAACTTTGTCTGCATCTGAATATGAGCGAGTAAAATTATAACAATGTACCCAAAGTGAAAGACGCGCCTAGGAGCCAGGTCTGCTCGTTCAGGCCTAGGATCCCTGCAACTTGGAGGTAGAGATAGGAGGATTGCAAGTTTAAGGCCTGCCTGGGTTATCCAGTGATTCTGAGGCTGGTCTGCACAATTTAGTAAGACTTTGTCTTAAAATAAAAGATGGAAGAAAAAGCACAGGATGGAGATACGGTGGGGTCCCTGCCTAACATGTTTGAGATGCTAGGTTAATCCCCAGTACAGCTCATCAGCTCACTAGCTTTCTTTCCCCCTTCCCTTTCTCTCCCTCCCCCATCTCCTTTACTTCCGCCCGCGCGCGCCCGCGTCGCGCGCCGTCACGCCCCCCCCCCCCCCCCCATCACCCCCGCCCGCCCCCCCCCTCGTCCCCCCCCCCCCCCCCCCCCCCCCCCCCGCCAAATACGGATGACAGGCAGCCTCTGGGACAGCCTCCAGGACCTCTCACAGTGGGTGTCAGCTCTTACATGAGTTCCTCCCCTTGGATGTGGGTTGGGTTTAGTGATTCATTTCAGCAGAACGAAACAGGGCAAGCGATGGGCTGTCAGTTCTGAGACTGATGCATGAGACTGTATCAAAGCCGCCCATCTTGCCACTTTCACTTACTCTCCTGCTCGCTAGCTCTGAGGGAGGCAGCTGCAGGCTGTGTGGGGCACTATCGGGCCCTTGTGCTCAGGTATTGATATTTTTGGTTAATGGCCAGCGAAACTTGGAGATTTGCCAGTAATCTCAAGAGTGAGGGTGGAAAGTGAACGTCTCCAGGCCAAGCCTTGAGACGGTGCAGCCCTGGCCAGTACCCAGATTGCAGCCTGCATGAGGCCCCTGAGCCAGAGGCACCAGGCAAACCTCACCCAGATTCCTGACCCATGGAAGCTATCAGCTAAGAAGCTCTGAAATGTCGGGGGTAGTTTGCTATACAGCAATCAATAACTAACACATCATGTTTCTCTCTGTCCTTCCTAAATAACCCACTGTGGCCTGATGCTGTGGTGCCTGAAGCACTAATTGCCACACTGACAGCATCAAAGCACGATCAGAGCTGTCAAAAGAAGAGGAAGGTGAGCAACTGAACAACCTTACTTGCTCCTGGCCTCGGCTCTTCTAGCCCTGGAAGCTGACCTTGGTCCTCTGAGAGCATGGCCGTGATGACTCTCAGGAATGGGATCAACACAGGGCAGAGAGCAGCCTGGTTCCCAAGACAAGTCGTGACCGTTCCATAGAATCTGCCTCCAGGGTAATTCTCCAAACACACAGGAGTTCCTGAGGTAGTGATCTTGGACAAAAATGAGATCTGAGTTTCATGCTTGGACACCCCCAACCCATTTTGAAAATCTGTTATAGGAGTTTCTCTGTGACGCTCCCATCAAAGACGGAAACTCAGATCTTGCTGGTCAAGTCCGGAGGGTCAGTACCTGGATATGCAAGAGCTGCAGGCGGCTGAGCTCCCGGTGGTACTGCAGTTTTCCAAGAGCCCTACCCAGGAAGTTCTGTCTGTCCCTTACCACCTCCCGAAACTCATCTGAGAGATGCTGCACTACCTAGAACACAGGAAGCATGATGCCAAATTTAAATGTTCTTTCTTACTCTTTCCGTTGCTCCTCTTTGCCTATCCAGTCATCCTTCATCCCCAGCAGCTCCTGAATATTATATGGCCCTGGAGAACCTTACAATGGGAGAGAATTTCCTTATCCCAGAGGGTCCCCTTGCCAGCCTCAGGCCTCACCTTCCTGTGACGATTCCAGACCCGTGGGCTCTGATCCTCACTCTGCTGTCGGCACGCCTCCTCCTCCTGACTCTGCAGCCTGACAGACACTTTCCTGAGCTTCTCAGATGCCTGCTCTAAACTCTGCAGGACCTTCCGCATGCCCAGCAGCACTTGTGCCTCCACCTCCCACTCCTTCTTGTCTGCTGCAAAGGGCAAAGAGAAAGTCCACAGAGCAACAGCTACCAGCATAGTAAATAGAAAGAACAGTTGATTGGAGTCAGTGAACCTGCCAGGTATGAGTCAGTGTCTTGTGGGAATCAGTGAGAGACGAGCACATTCAGGTGGTGGAGGGGCTTCTTGTGTTCCCTGGCACCTTCCCTGGCACCACCAGTAGGGCCACTAGCAGGACCTGCTACTCACCTTGAGAAAGCAAGCACGATTCTGGGCTGCTGAGCATGCTCAGGGCTCTAGCTCGCCGTTCTGTCTCCTGCAGGCAGCAGGCCTCCAGGGATGCACAGGCCTCCTCAGCCGTCCTCAGCTGCATTGGACAGAAATCACAAAGGGCCGAGCCATGGAGAGAAGGCATGGCTTTAAGCCTGGCCATCTCATGCCAAGCCTCCCTTCTACCTTTATACAGCTGAGGGACTTTGGGGTGACAGAGATCTAGTGTCTGGTGAGTTTGCAGACTGGAGGTTTGAATGAGAATAACCCTCAGGAACCCATGGATTTGAGTACTTGGTCTGCAGTTGGCAGAACTATTTGGGAAGGGTTAGGAGACACGGCCTTATTGGAAGAAGTGTGTCATGGAGCTTTGAGTTTTCGAAAGACTCATGCCATTCCTAGTGTGTCCTCAGTGGCTCTTACTTGCAGATCAAGATGTGAACTCTTCTCTGTTCCTTCCACCATGGACTCTAACCCTCTGAAACCATAAGTTCAATTAAGCAGTTGCTTTTATACATTGCACTGGTCATGGCATTTCATCACAGCAATAGAAAAATAACTAAGAGACTGTGTCTGCTCTGAGATGGATCCCGTTCGTGTGGCCCGTGGGGAAACAAGGTCTCTCGACATTAAAAAACTTGTATGGTATTGGCAGATGAGTGGTGGTGTGGAATATTAGTTAAAGATGTGTTACATCTGCTTATGTTGTGGAGCGTTCGTTTAATGATGCGAAAAAGTACTGCATTCTTTTATGTTGCCTTTGTTTAACTCTGTGAAGTTGTACTACTTTGACTGTCTAAAACACCTGATTGGCTTAATAAAGACCTGAACGACCAATAGCTAGGCAGGAGAGGGAAAGATGGGACTTCCAGGCAGAGAGAATAAATAGGAGGAGAAAAATAGAAGAGTGAGGAACAGGAAAAGGAGAAGGAGTGGAGGAGGATGCCAGGGGCCAGTCACCCAACCATACAGCTAGACATGGAATAAGAAGGAAAGAAAAGATGTGCAGAAAGAGAGAAAGGCAAAAGCCCAGAGGCAAAAGGTAGACAGGATAATTTAAGAAAAGCTGGCTAGAAGTAAGCCAAGCTAAGACCAGGTATTCATAAGAAAGAAGAAGTCTCTGTGTGACTATCAGGGAGCTGGGTGGTGGGTCTCCCAGAGAGTAAAGAGTTAAAGAAAAACAATTACAGAGGGGAAATGGTGAGGTGGCCCTCTAGGTCTTACCTGCAGCCTGGCCTCATGGCCTGGGTGGAAGTGCAGCTCCTGGCTCAGGTGCCACAAGTGTTCTGTCAGCCGCTGTTCCTCCTGCTCCTGCAGCTGCCAGTACTGCTGACGGGCCCTTAGCTCCTGCTCCAAGGGGATCTGCTGCAACGTGCAGCCTGTTCGGCTTTGCTAAACAGCCATGGACCCCAGGACTTGGCTATAGACCTCATGGCTTCTCAGGATGCTCTGACCATCCACGCCTAACTTGGTGAGGCAGTTGACTTGGTTGGAGATGGGAAACAACCCCATACCTCTTTCTGGCTCCCTAGTATCCTCTCCTTACACCCTAGTGTTTGCAGAGTCCCTGGGCCTCCCGCCCCAGTGTTTCTCTTGGGGAAGTATGGGGAAACAGGGAAGTGATGTCAAAGAATAGTTACCACCCCAGCCCCCAATGTGGCTTTTCCACACTGATCTGTGAAATGGTGGTGCTGGGACTCAAAACCAAAATGTGATGGTTTCTATCAAGATGCTCCGACCATCTTTGTGTCTGAAATTGTTACTAGACTCAGCATGTATGCAAAGACGCTAAATCATTTTTATTTTGATGGAGATCTGCCAAGAGCTGAATTACTGCAGCAACCTCCTGACAAGGTTTCCTGCTCTGGCCTGGCTCCAGTCCATCCATCCTTTGTACAGCTGCCAGAGGGAAATTTCTAGAATGCTGGTTATACATAAGCATAAACTGTCTGGGAGGGGGTGTGACAACCTGTTAACGGGGGCTACATCTGGTGGGTGAGGGTGGAAACAAGGCCAGGGGCATCTGGACGAGGTCTCTGCAGGAGCGTTGACCCTTCTGCAGAGGGTGTTGAGGAAAGAAAGGACCCCTTGCTTCTTCATTTATATAATTTAAAAATGTAGTGGTCTTATAAATAACTTTTTGGTATTCCATAGTTTTTAAATTTAATTTCCTTAGCTTATTGCCTATGTACTTAGACTCCTTCACGGGCTCTGCATAGTCTTCCAAGTCTACTTCTTATCTTCTAAGCACAGAGGTTTCTTGCCATTTGTTTTCTGCCTTCCTCATGAGCCTCTTTGCTTCCTTTCTCCCTCCATCCTCCCTTTTCTGGAACATTTGAGGCCTTACATTTGGCATCTTTGTTTGTCCTGCTGTCACGGGGCTGGAGTGGCTTTCTCTGCCTTCATCTTCAAGCCTCCGCCCAAGCATTACCTCTGTTGGTAAAGCCTTGCTTGAACTCTCTATGGTTACAGGGTCCTGCATCTGAGCTCCCTTAGCATCCTCATCTCCTCTAATCTAGGTGAGAACCACTTCTCCAGGGCTGGAAGCCCAGTGACCTTGCATCTCCACCCCCCTACACATTGCCTGGAGCCCAATGACCTTGTATCTCTAACACACACACACACACACACACACATACACACACACACACACACACACATTGCCTGACGCCCAGTGACCTTGTATCTCTACCCCACACACGTTGCCTGGAGCCTCGAAGGCTCACAACACGTGGTTGCTGAATGAGTAAATGAACAGAGAATGCCCCCCATACATACCGGATTGGGGTTCCTCACTCCACGTGGCAAGGCCTCCAACACCTGTACCACAGGCACCACCACTCTAGTAGAAGGGTCCACTTGAGCACCAATGACGGGACCACGCTTGCCAGTTAAGGGATCTATGGCCTGAGCTCCGATGGAGATTGGGACAAGACCTGTGGGAAGCCAGAGCCACCACTGAATTTAGTAACCAAAGATGGAGGAAGGAAGTGTAGTTATGGGAAGAAGCCCCAAGAGCCCCTTATCCTTTTCAGAGCTCTGAGCTGGTCTGGGTGGCTGTATGTGGGTGGGTGGTTTCTAAAGTACTTGTCTTGGAAAGGACACAGATCTTTCAGGGACGAGTCTTGATCTGTGGGTCAGCCATCATGAGAGCCTTGGCATCTTATTTTGGGGTGTCAGAAATTCTAGCGGAATCATCAGAATGCGCCTTTCTCTTGGCTTCTGTGTCAGCGAACCAGTGCCACCTATCCTGGGCTTTGCCAGGCTCTCTCCACCAGGGACTAAGTCACATTCCTGATCCCCTGGAGTTTAGGGGTTCCAAGTTGCCCTTCACCTTCACCAGCAGCATCTTCCATTGTCCCCGCCAGGGGCATGGTATTACAAGAATCCCCATCTTGCTGCATGCCCAGGATGGGCACCATGAGCCCGGAGCCTTCAGGGTCTGGGATCTCCATTCCATACAGGGCTGGGACCCAGAGCTCTGTCCCAGGGTAGCACATTACTCCTAATACAGGGAGCAGAGGAGTTGGGGGTCAGGCAAAACCACTGGTGGTTTCCCAGGTGCCTAGTGCCTCATTCCTGACCATAGAGGTTGCTGTACAAACACCGCCTGTGTTTCCCTTTGGCCCAAGATGGCATGTTGAATTCAGAAGGGAAGATGTGATGGTATTAGCATGGCCTGAATGGTATCGGATGTTTTGAGAAGCTGAGAAAGAGTTCAGGGCCACATTGAGAAATGGGATGGGATGAGATGGGAATTCATATTCCTGAGCACCTACCTGCTTTGTGTCAGAATCTGAGCTAAGGACTCCATCTAAGTTGTATTTTATTTTGTCTTTTAACTAAGTCTGTGAAGTACTGCAGTTTTGATCCTCATGATGGTGAAACAGTGGCAGAGAAGTTAGTAACTTGCCCGAGGTCAAAGAGGCAAAGGATGGGTCTTCAAAGTTCAGCCAGTTTTAACCCCAAACCGAAATAAAACCCAGGGTCTTTTTTTTGGGGGGTGGGGTCCCATCATGGGCAGAGGGAAGCTTCTAGAAAGAGTGAGATGTAAGATAATCTCCAGGACAATGCCCCTCATTTCCTCTTCCTGCTTTCTTTACTTTTTTTCAGATGAGGGTTATTGAGAAGAGGCAGGCTCCTTTCTGAGTTGAAAGGTGGGAAAGGAAGAATGTTGTAGGAATAAGAGTGAGAAAGGGGCTGAGGGTTTAGGGGATTTCAGCCTTGAGCCTGCCTTTGTTGCCAATTAGCCATAGAACTCTTGCTGGGCAGGTCACTCAATTCCTTGAACTTTAGAATCCCCGTGTAAAATGGGTGTCATGATGGTTATGTGCCTGGAGACCTTATGAGATAACAAGACTGTACATTCTATAAACATAAAGTGTAAGACTCAATCGAGTTGTTAAAGGAACAAAAGAGGAACACAGCCACTAAAGAGTCTAAAGCCACTCAAAGAGTTTGGGCACAAAGTCCTGGTCTATTCTCTTGTTTTGGTCGCACATGCCCAAGGCCAGTGGAGCTGAGGTCCTGTTCTAAGCTGGGCTGAGAGGAACTGAAGCAAGCAGCCATGCCGGAACTGGGAACCCAGGGCCCAAAATAACACATACCTATACAGCCGCCAGTGGCTTCAATGTCGCGTGCTGCCTGCAACTGTCTCTCCAGTCTCTGAGCCTGCTGGAGAATGTGGTGCAGACTCAAAGCCAGTGCTTGTCTCATATCCCTTATGGAAGACTCCAGAAATCCTTGTGCCCCGGACCCTGGAATCTCCTGGTACTGCTGGAGTACCTTGATCACTTGCCTCTGGGCCACCAAGACGTTGGCATCCAGCAGGGCCTGTGACCCTCCCGTGTAGGGTAATATTTGGCCTGCCTGTTGGGAGGCTCCCAGGAGCTGGACGGTCTTCCCACTCAGTGGCTCCACAAAGCTGTCACCGGGCAGCAAGAGGCTCCCTGTGGCATCTCGCAGCCCTCCCACTGCGAGCACCTGCCCTGCAAATGAGACACCTAGAGGCTTAGGTAAGAGAGACCCTTGGTAATATAAACATGCCAGGCAAGGCGTAGGGGAGAAGAAAGAGGGGGCCAAAGGGAGCTGCAGCAGGGCCATGACAGTACCAAGGACAAGAACAAGGGGAGTATGTGGAACCGCCCTCTTGGGGTTACTTCTACTGTAAAATCACCTTGGGGATGCTGTAATTGAGATGGGAAGGGGGAGGGAAACTGAGAAGAAGAGGGAAGGTTGGGGGCAGGGGCAGAGTGGAAAGAGAAGATGGGGTGTAGTTTCTAGCCTAACCAGAGCCTGGGGAATGTAGGGGACTGGGAGAAACTGGGCATCCAGGCCAGACAACAGGGGAGAAAACAGCGAAGGTCGCCGGACCTGTGTCTTCATCCAGCCCAACGCCTAGGATTGGCACGATGTCTCCGGTGACTGGGTCTTTCATCGGGCCCCCCAACTCCAAAGGGGCCAGTGTCTTGGTGAGAGGATTGCGGTATGTCCCTCCGAGAGTGAGCCACTGCCTCGTCTGTGGGTGCAGAGTCACGGCGAGCACAGGCACCTCAATGCCTGTGATGGGGTCGGACATGAGAGCCCCCAGCTGTGACGTTCTTCTTGGCTGTAGAATGGGTAGGCGAGTGGCTGGAGGGTAACCTGTGGCGGGGCTCGTTGGGTAGGGCACATAGGGGAGAATGGCAGCGGCCACTGTCCGGACGCCACCTGGATAGGGAGACAGAGGGGTGTGGGTACCTCCTCTCCTGCCGCTCCCCTCCCCTCCCCTTCCCCACCCATTCTACAGATCAGGAAAGAAAGCAGCTGTGGACACCTGCTCTCGTTCACTGAACAGCTCTCTGCCCTCCCCTTTTTTGATGGAGTCTCTCTGGGTAGCTCTGGCTGGCCTTGAATTTGCTTTGTAGATCAGGCTGGCCTCAGACTCACAAGAGATCCTCCTGCTTCTGCCTCCCAAGGGCTGGATTAAATGCATGTGCCACCCAAACCCAGTGGCAATAGTAAGGTGAGGAGGGGGTGTTTACTAGTTTGCTTGTCATTGAGACCCCTGCCCAAGGACAGAGCCCTGCTGTCTATGCCGTGGTCCCTGGATATTCATTCATGAAGTCCTCAGGGAACTCTGCCCCATCTCTGAAGCCCCAAGTAAGGTTGGGGCTAGTTAGTGGGTCAGGGTCTTACTGGCATTAGAGTCAGTAGTAGGTATCAGGGCTGTGTTCAGCAGATCAAATCCCAGGTGCCCAGCCTCAGGCAGCACCCGCCCAGTGTCGGGGTGGATAAAGTAGCCAGGGGGTATGGGCCCTATGTGGCCACTGGTTGGGAGCATCATACAGTTGGGTCCAGGAACCATCAACTTGGTGACAGGATTCACAATGATGTCATCTGCACCCCCTTGAGGATCCGCTGAGGCTGCAGGAAAGCAAAGGTCATCTGCTGGGCCTCTCCTGAGGTCATTTGGGAAGGCTGGGAGTCAGGATGGTGACAGAAAGAAGTCATCAAGGATTTCACCCCAACCCCACAAGGGTGGTGTCCCCCAGGACAGAGGTCTGGGGTGTTTAGTCCAGCACTGGGCTTTGCCCTTGGAATGCACTGTTGCAATAGCCTCAGATTGCTGGCTGGCTGGAGGGCCTTCGCGGAAAGGTTTGTGGGTAGCGAGCTGAGGCTGGGAACACCTAGAACTCAGCATGCCTTTAAATCACTGAGGGTCATCTTTCCCAGGCAAATCCACCAGTGTCCAAAGCTGGCTGTTCACATTTATCTGCCAGGCTTTGAAGAACGGCCACGTGGTCTGCAAAGCTGTCATTTGCATGATTTCTGTCTCCACCCTCCCTATTTCTGAGCTTCCCTCTTCTTTTGGGTGGGACTGTTGAACAGGAACCCGCTCCCAACCCCATGGGCTCTCGGTTGCTTTGCAATCCCCCACCCCTCACTGCTGTAGGTACCTGGGGGCAGAACTTGAGTTTTAGTTTTTGTGGCACCTGTCACCTTGAATGCAAGGACTTGTTTCAGTGCAGAGCCCAGCTTCCCACAGACTCCGAATGAGTCCAAGTGGGGTTTACCTGACTGTAGCAACTCCGCCCCTGTGCCAGTACCCAGGAAGCCCCAGGCCTTCAAGCGGTGGCCTTCTTGCAGCATGGCCTGGGACAAGTGGCCCAGCAGGGTGTCCAGCCGTGAAGTCATCCTGCAGAGACACAGGATACTGCAGACTGGTCAAAGTGCAGAGATAATGAGAGATGAGAAAGGGGCATTTTAGTATGGCTGTTCTGGGACTCCGTGAAGCCATACTCTCTCCTTGCCTAATAGCCTGACTCAGGTTAACCAGGTACATACCCTTCAGGGCTTTGCCCAGGCCGAGGGAACTTTCCTGGGCTAGAATTTGCAGATGCCTTCAGCAGCCACTGAGTTTCCATCAACGCTGAGCAGAAAGAGGCCCACTGGTCCTGTCTGGCGCAGAGGTCTTGGTGAAGGAGCTCCAGCTGGTGAGCAAGGCTTGTTGCATACCCGCCTGCCAGGCTTTGCCTCTGCCGAGACTCTTCCTCCGCAGCCAGGGCAACTGCCTCAGCAGCCTGAGTCAAAGACACTTTGGCTTGTTTACCCAGCCACCAGGGACAGCAATTTTGGGAACTACACACCCAACTTCCTTTGGAACTCCAGAGTACTCAGGGCTGGGGCAGTAGAGGAGACAGGAGTCAAAGAAGTGGCCTGGGTGGGAGGGTTTTCAGGGAGGGAGCCAGGGGATTGTGAGGGGTGGGGGGTGGGGCGAGCATAGCTGAGGTTGGGCACAGAGGCTGGGTGGGAAGGTTCAAAGTCCAACCTCTTGTTGCTCTCTCTGGGTGCTCCCCAGAAGCTGGTTAGTGAAGGGTGAGGTGCGGCGCTGAGCACCCCACAGCTGCCGGAGGGAATCTGCTTCATTCAGAAGTTTAAGATAAAGGACTTTGTGCTAAGAGAGATGATAGAATTGGCTTTGAACGCCATCCTAGAGCCACCAGCTTTTTAACCGTAGAGTTAGAGCGCCCTCTGCTGCCAGTATGTGGAAAGACTCCAGAGAACCCATCTCTGAAGAAATGGATGCAGCTGGCAAGAACACAGTTTTCCCCTCAAGGCCCCAACTCAGAGCTGGGGATCAAGCTCATTGTATCCAACATGCCAGGCACATGCTCTGTCACTGAGCTACACCCCCAGGTTCCTTACCTAGTTTTATTGACTTTCTTTCCAATTCCTGTCCTAGAAGACCAGGAATGGGAACCTGAAATCCCAGATTTGACCTTGCTAGGCTCTCTCTCTCTCTCTCTCTCTCTCTCTCTCTCTCTCTCTCTCTCTCTCT